TATATATTTTATGGGAGATGTAGGACACCTACATAATTAATCTACCCATGTAGGGCTGAAATTGTCGTATTGTTTTTGAATTTGAGATAGTAGAGATATTTATTGGAGATAACAGATAGTAACTGCTCTTCTATACGATATAGGAATATAGTAATATTCCTATAGTAGTAGTAGTAGTAGTATACTACTATTCCTATATTCAAGGTAATTCCTAGATTCAAGGTAATTCGTGCTATGTACGATATGCTCATATCTCATACGCTTTCTCATATGCTTTCACAGAACAATGCTTTGCAGTCAGTTGACTGGACTAAGTTGAAAAAACTTGACTAACCATTTAAATCACTCTTCTGGATTATAAACGTAAAAAGTTCTGTAAAGTTCTGTTCAGAGAGCAGAGCTTCAACAAAATGATATAGAGTTTGATCTTTATTTTTAATATAGTTAGTCTGAATTACTAGTGCCTTTCCATAGAAACAAAATTTATTCAAAAAGTGCATATTTATTTAACTCAACGTTCTCTGTTAGATAAAGCTTAAATGTCAATATATGGTATGTGTACATGAGGAAATAAGTTCTCTGTGCTCAATTTCATATACATTTTTGAACTTCAGGAATGATTCATTATTAAAAATTGAACTTGTGAAATGAAATTGTGTTATTGAACAGATAAACAATATAATTCCCATATAATTTACCGGCAATCAAAAGCTTATGAAATTTGTTTAGTTTAGTTAATTTTTATCATTAGAAGATGTCAGTTCATTAGAATTTATTTATAACGAGTCAAAATTATTTAGTTTATAGTTTATTTACAGTTCATATTTATAATATTAGAAAAATGCCTAATATTTTTAAAGCAGAAAAAGAAATATTTAAATATTTAAACAATTCTTTAATGAAAAGAGCCTTAGAAAATTCATTAAAAACTGCAGTTGAAGTGAAAGAGTTTTCATTTGAAAAAGCAACCAAGGATGGAGAAAATTATTGTAGTGATATATATCGAATATATGTGAAATATATTAAAGAGAATGATATTTCAAAGAAATTGCATGAGAAGAGTTTTATTATAAAAGATGTTGGGGAAATTGAACAACCAGATACTAGTGAAATGTTTATGTACGAGAAAGTGCTACCAAAGTTAGAAGAAATCCTCGAGTCGACTGGGGAGAATGTCAAACTTAAGCCAAGGTAGGTAAATTTCACATTAGATTCTCATTAGAATCATTGTATGAAATTATACATATTTTTGAAAGTAATATAAATTTAAATAAAACAATTAATTAACAAAAATAAGAAATTATTCACAAAAAATTTTTAAATTCTTCTAATATGTGTTTATTTTAATTATTTAATTTTATTTTAGTTGCTATTTAACTATATCTGATAAAATAGAACTTTATGTGCTAGAAGATTTAGTCGCCTCGGGTTATCATATAGCAGATCGCTGGGTTGGATTGAATGACGTGCAGGCTAAAGTAATATTACAGAAGGTAGCCAAATTTCATGCAGCTTCAATGATATATGTTGAAAGGGTAAGAATTGAGTCTAACAAGATTTAGATTTTTCGGGAATACCTATTTAATAATGGATTATATTAAAGTAATTTATTTTAATCAACTTTTTCAATCTCGGTCTATATTTATATAGACCTACTTCGCGAGGTCGTAAGGTTTAAAATAATAAACAGTTACATTGATTACACTTACAAGAAATACACATACTAGGCCAAAGAGTGTATGCTAGATAGCGCGATATATTAAAAATCCAGTACATATATTGTCAAATGGACGTACCACATTCATTGGAATTGTGCACTTACTTTTATTTACACTAAATAATGCACATATTTTTTTAATTACTTAGTGTATTTTTTCCATTTATAATTTTTTTTTAACTTCAATAGTTTCCAGAAGAAATTGCTAAGCTTGAACCAGCAGGTTTTTCAAGTGACAACTTTGGTGAAGTGGCGCGAGTTCTCTATATAGACAGTGTTGAATATGTTGCTCATATGATACAGAATGATTGGAACGGCTACGAAGAAATCGCACGGAAAATGTTGAAAAATAAAGAAAAATTTCACGAAAAAGTGAAAAAATTAGTTAATCCAAAAAACAGCAAATTAAATGTAATAAATCATGCGGACTTGTGGTTAAATAACTTTCTCTATAATTACTCAGACGAAAATTTCAAAGAACCTCAAGATGCAGTACTTGTAAGTATAATTGCTTTTGATTTAAAATTTTTTGTTAAGTACTAGGTATCCCTATTATGGATTCTCAGTATCGGGAATTTGGTGTTTGGTGAAATTTTACATATATGAATATTTAGTTCCCGAAGCATTATAATATTATAATATCAATAATATAGCAAATATAAAATTTCCTCATATTTGAAAAATAATAATAATATACCTATTATCTTCATAAAACAAAAAGTTATTGATTTGAAATTTGATCTACAACTTTATGAAGAAAGAGTCGAAAAAGTTTTAAATATTTGATAGTTAAAACGTAAAATGAGTAATCTGAATTTCCCTGCTATTTTATCATTATAAATAACTTACAGAACCTGTATTAGAAATGGAACTTGTAATATAAGTAATAGAGAAAATGTGAAATATGGTATAAACTATTATAAACTTAATGTTTTGTTTTCTCATTTACAGATAGACTTCCAGAACTGCTATTTAGGTAGCTTAGGTTTGGATATAAATTTTCTGATTTACACAAGTTTCGACCTTAATACAATAAAGAGTGATCAGCATAAACTTTTGCGTTGTTACTATGATGAATTAGAGAGAACTTTAAAACTATGTGGAGCTACAATAATACCAACGTGGGAGTCGGTAATAGATGAAATAAATGCAACTCTGTTTGTGGCTTACTATGCAGTTGTTTGTGAAATGCCTATGTGTTGTATGAGTTTGGAAGCCTCTGAAGGTTTTCAAAATGAGACTTATACAAATAAAGAAGTAATGGCTGAAAAACGAAAACTAATATATAGTAATAAGAGAGTTTTAGATACACTAAGGTATATGTTAGATTATTTAAATAAAATGGGTATACTTGATTAGCCAACGAATGATCAAAGGTTTATTAATAAAACGTGACTGTTAAAAAAAATTGTTAAAATTAAATTGTTTAGTTATTTTTATATATATGTTTAGTAAAATTTATATATACATATATATATATATATATATATATATATATACTTTGACTTTGAACATATGTTAAGTGTTTGCATGTGGACTAAGTTTTTAAGTTTGCACGTGAGGTATAATTTAGTCAAGATAAGGTTTAGTCAAATCCTTGGATACTGTATTATCAAGTGTTTCTGGTACAATACTCTTTTGGCCGCAGTACCGGTTGTTGTGCGATTTAACGACAATATCACAATATTTTTAATAATAAATAATAATCAAGTGTATTTGTATACTAGACTCAATAATTTTTTATGATATTTTTTACTATGTATATATTTTTTCAAAATGATTGAAAAACATATATAATAATTATATATGTATAAAATGTATGTCGCATTTCGTTGCTATTAAAAAAATGTAGCGCACTGGCAGTTCTATTTCGTTGACACTTTACGGTTCACTTTGTTATAAAATCTAATATGCGTTTTTGAATGAGCTTTTAATAGTGTGAAGGGCTTTCGCATTTCACCATATTTGAAATAGTTGAGTAAAAATAATGCGTTACTCTATAAAGCAGTTGGAATAAAGTTTTCAAAAGTACCGGATGACTTGTTCAGAAAGGCGGACGATATATTACTGAGAGTAATTTGCTAAGTGTGAAAAAACGAATATGTGTGAACTTGTTGATATAGAAAAAGTAAAGGCCGACTATCTTGAACAAAATGTTAAAGAAGCTTTAGAAAACGCTCATAAAGTCTCTATAAATGTTATAGAATGTAAAATAAAGCTTGCAACTGTAAACGGTGAAAACTTTTGCAGTGACATCTATCGAGTAAATGTTAAATATGCAATACTGATGGAAACAGCCGCTGGGGGGAAAGAAATACATACACAATCATTAATGATAAAAGATATGATACCGGAAGTGGCTGAAATTGGTTCCAGTGAACTGCTTATGTATGATACAGTTCTACCTTTAATGGAAGAAATATTGGAAGCAAGTGGTGATAAGGTAAAACTGAGACCAAAGTAAGTTAAAAATCACACAGAAACTTTATTACACTATAGTTCTATTTTTATACTAACTACACTAATATGTATATTATTTATTTACAATGTCATATCGATTCATTAATGTCATATCTATATAGAAATCCATTAAATATAATTATAAAATATATATAAAGAATTTATGTTATATTTACATATGTCAGTAATTAATATATATTCAATATAGACAATCTTACAATCTTTCACATTTGATATAAAATATATAACGAACTACTATTCAAAATATTTAGTTGCTTACTAAGTAAGCGGGATAGTAAAGAAATCTATATTCTGGAAGATATGAATGCATTGGATTATTATGTTGCTGACCGATGGTTGGGCTTAGATGAGCAACATGCAATGTGTTTGATGGGTAAAATTGCGAAATATCATGCAGCTTCAATGGTGTTAATACAAAAAGTAAGTATAAATTTATAATATATTATTTTGAACTCATTACTTTAAAAGATTTAAGTATAAAAATTAACTATTTAATACCACATGATTTTAGTCACAGGCTTTGTTAGACTGTTCTTGCTGGCCGTAAGTCACGCATCGACCTATTTCTCTTACTAGATTGATACCGGATGGAATAAAACCTTTATTTAGATTTGTATTCTGTATTCTGTAGCATGTTAACTGTAGGAAACTTCACCCCTGAGACATACTTAAATTTTCTAAATTGTTTGAATTTTGAGTTTTAAGTATACTCGTGAGATCGCAGCATATGAACATGAGAGATATTTTAAAGTTTTATTTTTTGACTTACTGCTTAAGAACACATATTGTATGATTCTTTTCATTTTATTTACTCCACTACAAATATTTTGCAAATATCTTAACACGCCATTTATTTAAAGCGGTTTCAAAGGTGTAAAACTAAGTTTCTTAAATATAATTGATCATTACATATTGGATTAAAATGAATAAGACCGGAGATTGAATGGATTATAATTTGAATCAAAAAAAAATATGTTTTAGTCAAGACTTGAGTCCGATAAGACCAACTCCTATAGATTTAGATATCTCCACAATATTTTATTAATATTTTACCTAAATTTTACTTGTTAAGTCTGAAACCTGATCTATTGATCTATTGCTTCCAATTAATTATAAACTTTTTAAACTATTCTTTAGGTGGGCTACTGTACTGAACGTTCACAGCTAATTTACTGAGATTATTTTTTACTCTTTTTTTTGTTCAATTAACGATTTTTTTTTTTACAAAATGTGTGTTAATATTCTGATTAATGCGATACTTTGAGATATATTACGTAGTCTTGTTAATGCTTTTAAGGCTACTAAATAGATTAATATCTTTGTAGTATTTGTATGTTGGAGCTTCTTGTGTATAGTTATCGGTTTTAGCCTGACATTGTGTAACAGATATAAAGAATATAAATTTAGTTGAGTATTCTTAGCGCTTATGTTATGGTATTTCCGTAGTACATGTTATATCAAATAGAGCAGTTTTTTTTTCAACTTCAAACGTAATGGGGACTAGAAATATGTTCAACGTGTTTTAATCCGTACCAATATATAATATTTAGAAAAACTGATATGGATAAGGTCAATTACAATTACAGTATTTTATGGACTGGAGCAGCTAATGATGTAGTTGGTTAAGAAACTCTGATACAGAGAATCAGGTCGACCACATGTCTTTGTTGCAATCTGCTGCCACACCTAAAAGCAACGATTATAAAGCTAATATTCTAAGATCTTGTACATTTAAAAATAATGTATTGGAAATAGTTCTTTATTAATGTATTTAATTTATATATACATAATCTTCTTCTTTCAAAGCTTAAGCTATAATAAAAAAATGTAATCGAAGTTCAGTTCAATTTGTAATAATTAGTTACTGCTAATAGTGGAATATTGGTTTTTTAACAAATTTTTGTTTTTAATTATGACAGAAATATGTGCAGTGCATAAAGTGATAATTAATAAAATATCAAGCCATTTCATTTAAATGAGAGAGAGAGATAGTACAAAAATAAAGTTTCCATTATTCATCCACTAACATTGACTTATAGATGTCACCTAACCTATAGATGTCACTGCTATAAAATTTTTTTTATAATCAGTCATAGTATCTGGTATATATTGTTTGTTTACAATTTAGCACTTAACACTTAGTTTTTATTTTTTTAAAGATATACTAAATAATTTTGACATTTAATTAACATCTTCCAGTTCCCCACTGAGGTAAAAAAACTACCAGCTTCACACTTTGCTGCAGGAGCAGCAGATCAGATCGCCCATTCCATTGCAATTGGTGGTTTGGAGTATGTTGCAGATTTTCTCAAAACCTGGTCAGGTTTTGTAGAAATTTCGAGAAAAATTTTAGCAAATAAGACACAATTCAATGAAAAAATAAAATCAATTGTTAATCCGAAAAATAGCAAAGTTAATGTTATTATGCATGGCGATTTGTGGGTTAATAATTTTCTTTTCCGATATGATAATGACAAAAAGCCCAATGACGTTGTGTTGGTAAGTGCATATTATGAATAATATTATATCAAAAATGCATGAATTTTAAATTAGAACTAACTTAAAATATATTAGAGTTAACTTGGTGTTGTAGTATATAAGTAAGATCATTTTTTGTAACACTTTTAAGACTTCCATTTATAACATATATCTACATATACCTAATCCATCGTTGTTCACAGGTTGATTTTCAAAATTGTTATATCGGTAGCCTCGGTATCGATCTGAATTATTTTTTATATACGAGTCTACAATTGAATGTATTGAAAACCAAACATTTGGATTTATTAAAACACTATTATAGTGTTTTAGAAGACACATTGAGAATGTGTGAGTATCACGTAATACCGAGTTGGGAATCAGTTTTGGAAGAAATACGTAGCACAGCATTTATGGGGCTTTATGCTGCTGTTTGTGAGCTACCAATCTGTTGTATGGATAAAAAAACACCTGATGGATTTACAACAGCAACATTTAGTAATCCAGAGGAAATGGCTAAAAAACGAAAACTGATGTACAACAATGAAAGAGTAGTAGAGACATTAAAGTACACTTTACATTATTTCAACAATTCTGGTGTACTTGATTAGTAACTATAGTTAATTTTATTTACTATTATTAATAAATTATTTTTATGAACACTTAATTATGGTTTTATATTTCCTTCAATAAAATATATAGTAAAAAGACTAAAAATGGTGTTGTACTTACTTTACGCTTAATATCGGTGGAAATTCAATTTCCGTATCCTTTGGATCTCGCTTTCTAAATCGCGGAAATTTAAGCATATCCTTTTTGTAATGTGCATATTCGTTTTGCATTCTTTCATCGATATTTTGAAGTGGAATCAGTTCAATGAGAGTGTTACTTTTTGCTACGTGAAGATCAGTTAACTCCGGTAGTTCATCGTAGAACTCAAACCCTAGTAATTAATAGAAATTATATTTTAAATCAGATAAATTATGTTTAAGATTATTGCGTGAAAAAATTATTGTGAGAGAATCAGAGAGTATTGCTGTTTGCTTTTTAAAGATTAGATAACTCAGGTAGTTCATAAAATAACACAAACCCCTTGTATTTAATAAAATTTTTGTAAGAGTCTAATTAAGTATTAAGGAAATTATATTTTAAATCAAATAAACTATTTTAAAATTTAATAAGATAATAGTTGTAAGAGGATCAGGGAGTGTTGATCTTTGGTACATGCAGATCAGATCCGATAAATAGTAATTAAAAGATATTTAGTTTAAAATTAGATATACGACATATATTCAACTATTTTCTAATTAATGGACTCCATTATTAATGTAGTTATTGAAAAGATCTGCAAAATATATTCCCACGGATATAGATGTGAAAAGAGCTAGAAGTTAGAGTGAGTTAAATTTGGTAAATAGGCTGGTTGTCAGAATAAAATATAGATTAATCGCCTGATTTTGACTAATGAGCAGGTGTATTTTCTTAAAAGAATATAAATTTTTTCCTCTTCTGAACTGCAGCTACATACGGCTGTTTGTATTCAGTTGCCAAATTTTATGATTTTCTGTATTTAAAAATTTACTTAAATATATACTGTTGGAATTTGCAGAGAAGCATAGGAGATCGCAAAATGTTTCATTCTCTGACCAATAAGTGAAAGAAATACCGGAATGGGTATTAAATCATAAAGTATGAAGAAATAATACTCCATAAAAGAAGTTTAATACTATAATATATTGTAAATTAGCAACATTTTTATTGCTTTTTAAAATATATTAAAATATATACTTTTAAAAAAATATTTAATAACAATAAAATGTAAATAAAAGATTTTTCGTAGCAAATAAGTGCTGTTTTGTTTCGAAACATTAAAAATAGTGCTATAATGATGCATAATATTTATTGATAATAATAGAAAAATGTATATAAGGCATATAAATTCTTACCTCTTGGTTGAAGTCTGGGTTTTCCTTTCAGCGAAACACTTTCAATAAAAAATAATTCTTTTGATTTAGGTTTTTTATAATTTTTGAATTGATTCATTTTTTTTATAAACGAATAAAAAATCTTGTGCAAATCCCACTTGAAGTCCAATATGAAGTCAAAAGCATCACTGAAATGAAATACAATACATGTTTAAGCTTAACTATTTTGCACTTCATTTAAATAATGAAATATTTGAAGTTGTGCGTTATCGTCCTGTTACTTTGCAAGGATGCATATTAACGCTCTCAATGCATTCAAGAAGTTGCAATTTTCCACTTGATAAAACATTTTCATTTGCATAATAATGATACCAACTTCACATTCGCACTAATCATAAACGCAAATTATTATCATAACGAAACCAAGTGTAAGTTTATGCAAGGAATCATACAGCTGAATTGGCACTAATCCTTTGCTTTTGTGGTATCTGAGCTGTTGCACTTGTGTCGATTCATACGTCGGTAATGAGGTACTGTCAACTGAAAAATTGTGATGTTTCTATTCTATTGTGGCATTTCGTATACTAAGTATTGGGTGATACTATAAGCTATTTGGGCGTGAGAGGAATATTTACCATTTATTAATATTGAATGAGTATTGTTACTCATCACATTGTCTAGTAGAACTAAATAATTAAAAATAGATTTATGCTCTTCACTTATCAAAATATTAATTAATTATTATTACACTTTTGTTCTTAATTCAGTTATGCAGCAATAAGGGACCTAATATTTGGTACATAATTCAATAATGTTGACTGAGAACAAGTAGTATCAAAACAATTTATATTATACTTCTTAATGTCTATATTAATACCCACATTTCAACTTCTTCCAGATCATTATATCTTTCCAGATATGCAAGCATGTGACAATCATTTGGTGTTACTGCAACTCGAAATTTATTTTCGAAAGATACTTTCAGTACTGGTACAAATACAGGTGCCTCTTCATCCTCTAAAAATTTTTTTTCCTCTCCACTTTCCGTGCTTTTCGACTTAAAATCTTCATTGTCGTCATTTTCATCCTTTTCCTTATATATACTATCTAGAAATTTGCGATCAACAATGTCATGCGTTATATGTATGCCATCAATAGCAAAAACATCCAAGTGTATATTATAGATAGAATTGTTAACTATTTCAAAACGAACTGCAGCATAGTGCCTGTGTTGTATCAGTATATCATTGCAATTATAACCGACATATATATTTGGTTCTTCGAACTCTTCACCGATTCCTTCTTCATATAACATTCTATGCCCTATTTTATATCCCTTGCGCTTCCCTTTCCCCTTCTCACAGGG